TCCAATCAGCGGCGCGACAGGCAGCGCGTGTCCGCCTCTAGGAACGGCCAGCGCCCCGCGCCGGCTGCTGGCGCCGGGGGCGCCGCCACAGCCGCAGCCGGCGTGCGAAGACGGCGTCTGGGCGCTACCCCGACCCGTCCGCGTCCGGACGGCACCCGGGCGCCCGCCGCACTCCCACGACGGCGTCCGGGCGCCCGCCGCACACCCCGGACGACGCCCGAGCACCCGCCGTACACCCAGGACGACGCCCGAGCACCCGCCGCACACCCAGGACGACGCCCGAGCACCCGCCACACACCCAGTTCGGTGCCCGGCGCTACCCCGACCTGTCCGCGCGCCCCTTCCCATCTCTCTAACCGCTCAGCCGCGGCGGGACGCCCGCGGACAGGAAACGCGCCGTGAGCGGCCCGCCGCGAGCGTGAAACGTGAGCGGCCCGCCGTTTTCTCCGGCTGCATGCAGTGCCGCACCGCGGAGCCGCAGCCGCGTCTGTCGAGTCCACTCAACCGATGCTCAGGGGGGCAATGCATCCGTGCGGGTGCATGGAGAACGCCGCGTGCATGGTGTGGGCCGTGCATTGTGCGAAATTATAGAGGATCTTGCAAGCATTGGCCCATAGATGATCCGCGACAGTGGCTGGCAGGAGGTGCATTACTGGCACGCATGCAACCATCCGATCGCAAGGTTCCCCAACTGGGACAGCGACACTCGAGGTCGCCAAAATTATAAAAGGGTTCGGTCCTGAGGCGACACTGGAGGTCGCCAAAATCCTAAAAGGGTACGGTACTGAGTTGGGTGACTCATGCCACGCTCATCCGCTGAATGGCACGGGCGCCTGCATCGTTGTTAGCATGATTAGCATCTCCAGTGATGGCTGTGAGGGTCGCTACCACTATTTAAGGCATCACTATCGCTACTGCTCCTACCGCCAAGGCGCACGGCCTCTATTTTAAGTATGTCAATACGGTTGGCTATTATGAGCGATGTACCCACACCAACAATGCGGGACCCACCAAAACGCATGGCCTCGCGATCCTTGGCGAAAGACAATGAAGGGGCTGCATCGGGAAGGTGACTGACGTTTCCCGGCATGCCTGGAGGATTGTGTGCCATAGAAACGAATGCACAATGCTTGCCTGCCACTCCAAATAAGATAATGACCCCTAGGTCCTCTGAGAATCACACGCAGTGGGGAGAAGACGGTTCTCGCCCCCTCCCCCAGTACATTTCAAGAACAGTAAAAGGTGCAGCAGCGAAACTCACCGGGTACGTGCGTGCTTTGTGGAACTGCGGTATATGTAGAAAAATGCTCCTAGGTCAATATCTCCATGTCAAATGAGGCCAAACATTAAAAGTTCGGGAGCTGGCGCGGTTTGGCTCGTCATCCTTGCTGGCCGCTGCGACTGTCTTTAAACGTACTGAAATGGGACTAAGCTGCGGTATGTGATGGCATGGTATACGACGCAATATAAATGCGACACATAGCTTTTAATCTACCGTTGTTTATAGCTAATAAGTTATGATGCATGTCACGGAATGCGTTTCCAAGGGAAAACCTCAAGCTTTTCACATGGCATTAACAAAGCTTTCACATGGCTTAAGGAGGTGACGGCGATTCAGGACTGACATTCATCTATTATGAACTTAACATGGATCGAAATCGGTGATCCCCAATGACCCTGAAGTTATAACGCGTACCAAAACACATAGCAGAAATCCACTCGCATGCTTTTTGTTCTAAAAGACGCGCTAGGGTTTAATTTGAAGGACGACCAAAAATTATGCTCATCTTCGCATTCACTCCTGGATATTTTCATGAAAAACCGGAGGAACAGTTTTCCATCCATTTCCAAGAGGAGGAAGAGCCATTTTCCAAATCATCATCCCACTACATGTTGGCATATCCTGCACAAACGCAGGGAATCTGATCAAACACAACGCGTGTATCTTCCGCATCCATAAGTGTTTAGGTACGCAAGCGGTCAGATATTCAAGAGTCCAGAAATGTTGGCTCCTGAGCACAAGCACAAAGGCGAGAGACCATGATCACCAAGCACAAACAAACCGACTGACGTGCATACGACAACGTGCATGGTTTGGTTAACGGTAGAAGAACGCATGCGGGCAGCGTCCACTCGCGCGGTGTAAATAGGTCGCCGTTCATCGTACGCCAGCCAGGACCACGGGCACTATTTTGGCCGTTGGCCCAGCCCTCATAGCGCATCTGACAGCGCGGCGGCGGCCGGTCCCGTCCGATCCAGACCAGCCCACGGCGCTGACACGTGGCAGTGCCCCTGTCGGCCGCGTGTGCCTGTCCCGGGGAGGGGGCCGCGACCCCGGCGGCTCCCGGCGCCATCTGGCAGGCGGCCGTCCGCCGCCACCGGCGCCCATCCGGGTCACGGTCACTCACAGAATCGGTCCGACTTGCGGCAGCCCTGGGCGCTCTGGCAGGCGCAGCAGAACGGGACGGCGCGGTGCGCGCGCCGCGCCGCACTCGTCTCGCGCCACTTCATGTCTGCACGCGCGCCGCGGACTGGAGCGGCCGAGGGAGAGGAGCCGACTGCGCGCCGGCCGGCACCTGGCGCTGGTGCCGCCGGCCGGCGCAGATGGCGCGCCCGGTCCGGCGGCCGGCGGACCGCACGCGCCGCCCGGACGTGGCGTGATCGGCTCTCCCCGGCCGCGCCACGCGCTGGCCGCGGAACGGCTCACTCGCACGCGAGCCGGCGGCGCCGCCAGGTGACGCGCCGGCGCGCCGGAGAACCGCCGCGCCGCCCGTCCGAACGGGTTGAAGAGGTCCCCAGCCCGAGCGCCCAGGGGAGTTTGGGAGTCGCGGGCGTCTGCTCGAAGGTCGGCAGGGGTTGCGTGGGTTCCGCCCGGGGCCGCAAGCTGAACGGTTGTACGTGTGACTGGTGGTACGAGCTCAACATGTGGCGTTCGTATCAAAAGATTCGTGGAAACCAGTCATAGCAAAAGAACCGCGCATACCAGAGAGCATACCTCACCATTACGTGAAAAACACTCGGTGTGATAAAGCTGTGTATTTTGGCTGAAATGCGCACCTGGGACCATGCCCTGTTTCAGCGGCACGGGCCGCGTCGACCGTGGCCCATTCGAGAGGCGCGGTGCTAGCGATAAGATATCTTCTCCCACGCGGCCGCAAGTCATGACCTCCGTGTTTTGTTATCATTACGTACACCTTCCCCCACACTAACACGCCCAGCACGCTTGCTCCCATGAGACTCGTTTCCCACTAAAAACAGGTGTTCGGTGTGAAATGTGGTGACGTCTCTCACGCGTCCCGTCACCAGACCCGGTGCCCTGTGCAATCAGCCGTCACACACGTGACGGCCACAGCACATACAGCTCGAATAAGCCAGCACTTCATGCTCAGCTATGCTATCGTGGAAATCGCGCGAGCCAACTGTCCCGCATACAGCTGGTAATGAACTTAAAGCCATTGACTTTGCCATCATAACGCCCTGCTGGTAATGAACTTCCAGTCACTGGCTTTACCATCATAACGCACCATCTCTCCACGCCTCGCCTTCACTTCCACTGGCAGTGTTCCATGGAGTACCTATCCTCCCACTTTCTGCGGCGAAGCTAGTACAAGCTTTACCCAGCTTTCTCATCCGCAAGCAGTTGCTTCGGAGCCAATGGGATCGCAACAGACAACTAGCACACAGCTGCTTGGATGCACGCGGTGAGTGAGCAGTGCTCCTCACGAACCCCACTTCAAACATGCACTCGACGGAAAGGAAGCGTGAGGAATGGTGGACTGATTTTTCAAAATATTTGTTGGCACTTGGTCGCTTTTATTAACGAAAAATAAAATCAACGAACTGTCACGAACATTTGGGCATTACAACGCTAACCACCGTCTTCCGGCTAATGGAATCGACGCAATGTTATTCGAAACCCGCTACCAGTCAATGTATCACAATACGAGGTTGAGCTTACGAAACAAACCACTGACCACATGACGCAGACTACGATAATGGAAGGCATGTCACACTCAAATTGTTTGTGGAGGTTTGAAATTAATTCGTGTGTGGCGCATGAAAGTGATCGTTTCATTTTAGAAGGGGGGAGCTCTACCCTCCGACTATTCTTTTGTCCCTGCTCACATACCAGTGGTTCTCAATTATTCAAAGGTTTACAAGTTTGCAGCAACTCACTTGTAGTAGAAGCCCCTGGCAACATGTTTGGGCGGACCATATCTATGGTGATTAAATTTATATCCACAAGTTGTTAAATCCTAATTATATACGGATATTGTGTGCTTAACAATGCATGCTGCGTGGTCTCCAATGGTAAATGGCAGAGCATTAGAGCAGTAAAAAAAGCCGCGCTTATCATACACTTTTCTATTTCTCCACATACATTCAGCTACACGCCTGATAGCATAAGAATAGGCCGACACCGTTCTCCTGAAAGAAGACTCAAGTAATAAAACAACTTTTAGGAAGTCAATATGGCTATCACCACATGTGAATCGCTGCTTTGGCCCAGCAAAGCGATAGCTAGATGGTCGCATGCTCGGAGACGACCAACAGTTTGCACGTACCATGTGCATGCTGCTATCTATGGATTTAAGCACAACCAAATGCAGTCAAACATTAATGATGACAATGAATGTGATGGTTAAGTGTGTGGTGAAAGGATCCAAAGCCACATCAGTAGTATCAAACTTTGCTATAACTTCATGATCGGATGTCATGTTTAATTGCATCTTTCATCACCTTGCAGCATGCACGCAGATGCATTGACGACACAGCTTCACTAGTTGCACTGATGGCACAGCTCCCAAACAAATACATAAAGCAACATGCAAACTGCCAACGTAAATAGCATCAAACTTATCACAGGGCGCGTAGTGCGACGCGGCACGGCCCCGACCGCTCCCGCACACGCCTGGACACCATGCAGCTACGGACCAGCGAGGAGCGACAGCTGCGGCCCGAAAGCCCCACCCGGGCAGCCACGCGCCCGGGGCACTTACAAGGCAAGTGCGCGGTGGGCCAGTGCGGATGTTTTCCGTCACCATTGAGCACGCCGTTGGTGTGGGCTGTGGCGGCCTGCGCGTCGCCGCCGGCGCCCGCGCCGTTGGCCGGTCTCAGCTCGCCGCCACCACTGCTGTCGGCCGGCTGCTGGCCGAGGTCGGACCGGGGCGCGCTCTCCCCGGCGCCGGCGCCCGGCTCCGGCGCGTGAGAGCCGTTCGAGAGCGCCGCCTCGGCGGACCGGTGGCGCAGGCGCTTCTTGGGGGTGGCCGGCGCGTCGGCCGCCGCCCGGCGCTGGTTCATGCTGGTGGCCAGCCTGCAATGTCCACACAGCCTGTCATGGTGGTTACTGTGCAGGCAGGTCAAAGGCAGAGAGGCCCTCTCCAGCTCTCCTGATCACTTGTTTGATGTTTTTTATGTTTTGTGATGTGATGTGTTATGATCAGCATAAAATGGTTGTGGGAATGTGGATGTACTCTGCTGCTGTAGGAATATCCACATGATTATAGATGACTAGCTCCAGCTTTAAAGCTGCTGAAAATCAGTCTCTTTGCTTAGTGAGTCACAGTGATGAAAGCACACTGGACAGGTGTACAGAACATTCAATAGTGAAAATTTGAGTGCTTCAAACTGAAACATTATCAAATTTGACCACCTGAGGCTATCAGGCACGTCAGTAAAAGGGTGAATCCAGGGATAAACCAGCCATGGCCCAAGTTGGACAAAAAAGGCACATTTCTGGACTTTGAAGATAATTTTAAGTGTTTAAATGTTGTAAGACAAGTTTGTGTCAAAATACTGTGATAAAAGAGGGTCACAATCAAATTCATTTAAGAAAATCAGCACATATCTTTGGAGTGAGCCAACTAAGAGATGTCACGATGCCCAGTTATGAGATATAACCTTTAGCAAGGATGACCACATCAAAAATATCTGACTTTACACTGGCTAGTTGTACAACCATTGGGACTTGGTGCTGCAGGAAAGAGCATATTTCAATGGCAAAATAGCAAAATTATGGAATATCAGATGAAATCATGTGTAGCCATTACCACACCTGGCATGCTGTATACCTACTAATGGCTGCATACTACTTGATTCTAGTTGTATAGCTTAGCAATATGGCTGGAGGGGTGGTAGCATTATTATTGGGATAGCTCACAGCCTTGCCTGGTTTTGGCCACTACAACATACTTGCAGCAAACCATATGTATGCATATATATATATATATATATATATATATATATATATATATATATATATATATATAGATAGATAGATAGATAGATAGATAGATAGATAGATAGATAGATAGATAGATAGATAGATAGATAGATATGATTACCTTTAATTGGTAATTTGATACTAAAAAAATACATAACAAGAAGTCAAAAGCAGGATAACCATGCTAATACCACACAGGATTAATGAATGTACAAAGCTTTCAGCTTCTATCACATCAAGACATCACACACAGTGAGGCTGCTGGCAGTTCTGTACAACCCCAACAGAGCACAATGCTTACTTCATATCAGCTTTGTCCCAATATACTGGGAGATGTCACGTCCTTTGTTGCATAACAGCCATGCAAGTGGGGTGTACTTGCACGAAATATTTTAAAATACAGCACAAATACATGTGCACGCACACACACACACACACACAACCATACACGCACTAGACCAACGCAGGCCAGGGTGCAAAATGGATAAAACTACATTATGCCCTTGCTAGCTAGAGACGTTACCTACCGACTGACACAGAACTTGAAGCACTGCCGGCAGCGTAAGAGCATCCACGCAAGGCCACTGGCGAAATACGGCGTTACGGCAAGGCGAAGCTCGCTGTTGAGCACCTCCCGCCTATGACATCACGGGTTGATACCTTCAAAGACGTCGAATTTGCCAACAACTAAGAAAACAGTCAAAAAACCAAGCCATAATTTTGCAGATATTTTCTGGCAGCTATTATGGTTTGAAATCTTTTTTTGCAAAAGGATAGAACGACCATACAGGTGAAAACTCTTTCCTCGGCTTAAATATTATTTAGCAGCGCTGTGCCTTCAAAGAGAACGAAATCTCTCTACAAATACAACGCATTTGTTACGCGTAACATTTCCGCCGGTCATCGTAGTTCCTCGAGGGCGTTTGCTGAGATTTGTTCGGGGCGTGCTGAAACGGAGAGAGGACAGGTAGGTGCGAATGCAGTTATATTCAAAGGTTTTGCTTTGTCTTATGTTTGATGCTTTGCTTTTCAATTTTATGCATTTGTGTGCAATGGATTGCTTGTCATGTATTTAAAGATATCTGTTTTTGAGCTTGGTTCGGCTGCTTGGGGTTGCTTACCGCTTGACTAAGGCCATAAAGAGGGGTGTTTGTTTTTATATTTTTGAGGCCTTTGAGCTCATTGCTTTCAGGTCTGAAAATTCATTCTGTGGTAATTCAGGGAGGCAGTTGCACTGAAAGATCCACTATCGGTTTGGACCCTCCCAATCTTTTCTTTAAAATGCATGCTCTGAATATAAAAATGATGGTACCATTTTGTGGTACTTAAATGCGTGATACCCCACACAATCACAGCGAGATTGTGTGAGATGTGTCTGTGCATGTGTTTGCTGTTTGTTGCTGTGCCAAAGTAATTTTGTATAGGAGGGCCATTGTATGAGCCGTTGTGGCAGTCAGCATTCATTGGCAAAGTGTCTGAAACTATTTTTGTATGCAACTGTATGGTGAAAATAAAACTTGCTTATTCAGTAACAATGGAACAGATCATTAAACCCAGTTTAATATAATAATTAGAGGTGTTATATGACCAAACAGCTGACTGCAAGTGAAATCACTTTGAACAAAAATGTTTTATAAATTGTTTTTGTATATATGTATTATATATATATATATATATATATATATGCCAGTTAGCAATTTTTTAAGTGGTTTTGATTTCCTTATTTGCATGGTCTATGTATTTTATTACTTGCATTCACACATAATCACATGCAAGGTCAAAATCACATTAATTTGTATTTAAATAAATTCTGCTATCTAAAAGCAGAGGCATTGGTGCTATGTCAAGTAATAGCTCTTAATCCTTTTTGCCTTTAGATAGCAGAATTGGATACTCTGTCAATTCAGGTTACATCCCCATTTGCCACCTCATCTCCATGAATTAATGCATATGTTTCTATTACAGCCTGCAGCCTGCTTGAAAGCCACCTACTTGTCAATCATGGTAAGCATTGGGGGCAGTAATGCTAATTATGTATGTATGTTAACTGGAATCTTTGTGTCACTAATTTTGTGAGTATATGTCTTCCTGGAAATGACAATGCAAGTAAGAACTGTGTACTTGGTTTACATGATGACAACAGTTACAGTTGTCAGGGCATAATAACTATTTTGATTTGTATGTTATTTTTACAATTAAAATCACACCATGTTAGGTGGACAAAATTTGCCATGGCTTCAAACCCTGGTGCTGGATGTGGTGATGTTTTCACATTTACTTGATTGGGAGCATGCCATAGAGTATAGTCTTAGAGAATGAGCAGAGTATATATATATATATATATATATATATATATATATATATTACAACAAGCTGTTTTCCCTATTAAATTTTCATATCTTAGATTTAGATTTTTCATTAATGTAGTGTTGTAATGCTATGATAGATGTGATACTTCTCTCGCCATGAAATCTTGCTAATATGATGCTGCAGAATTTTTAGAGAGAAAAGAGAAAATTTGTGACAGAAAGGATGTTATGTGGATTCAAATCATTGTGGCAGCTTTGTAGATTTGATTCAGGTACTTTTTTGTTTCAACCCTGGCAACATGATGGTGGCTTCCCAAAAGTTTGCTAACTTCAATTTTTCCAGGACAAGCTTGGGGGAAATATTAAAAGTACCTGTAAAGCAGCTTTTCAATCAACACAAATGCAAGAAAACTCATATTGTGACCTGTGCCTTGCTGTTGTCTCAATGCTTTGGACTTGCCATAGTCAAAGCATCACAATTCTATGTTTGCCTCATATATGGCTCATGCCAAAGCTAAAACTCAGAGCACATTTCGAGGTTATGCTTAAAGATGATACTGAATAGATCAGGAAATGGTGCATAATTTGCATACAGCTAGATAAAAAACCTTCAGAATGGTTTATGTCTGAAATGTCTGTCATCTTTGAGCCTGCTTAAACTTTCATGCTCCATGTCACAATATGTTCTTTTTAATTTTTGTTGCAGTGTTTGTGCTCCAATCCAGACAATGGCCAGTGGCTTGCAGCCTGTCATTATGTCATCTCCCCAGTCTGACACAGTCAGTCAAGCTCCTGCATCACTTCCAGTTGAGTCACACGCCAGTGCTCACGTTTCCAGTTCCGGAACCAGTACGACAACGACGTGACTGTGTGGAGCCCGCAAGGCCGGCTCCACCAGGTGGAGTACGCCATGGAGGCGGTCAAGCAGGGCGCCGCCACGGTCGGCCTCAAGTGCCGCACGCATGCCGTGCTGGTGGCGCTGAAGCGCGCCTCCTCCGAGCTGTCCGCTCACCAGAAGAAGATCATGCCAATCGACGCGCACGTGGGCGTGTCGATCGCCGGCCTGACAGCCGACGCTCGCATCCTCAGGTGGGCGGCGGGTGGTGGCGCGCGCCGCGCCGGCCTGCGACAGCTCCGGGCTGAGGCGAGACTCAACGCCCCTATCGCCGGGTGGCGCGTGGCCCCTCGGCGTGGTCATGTGCTCGCGGTAGGCGGCTGCTAAGCGACTGCTAGGCCTTGCTATAGAGGTGGATGATGTAACGCTCACTGACACACAGTCATGAGACACTGCGATGGGAGCCGTCATGCGGGTATCTGTAAAGCCGTCGTGTTGGCTCGGAGCTGTGTCGGCCGGCGAGTCCGCGGCACATCCCGCGCCGCGCTGTGACCTGACCTCTGACCCGCTGACCTCCGGCAGCCGCTGGATGCGCTCCGAGTGTCTGAACTCGCGCTACGCGCACGACCGTCCGCTGCCGGTCAGCCGCCTCATCAGCGAGCTCGGCAACAAGATGCAGGTGTGCACGCAGCGCGACGGCAGCCGGCCCTACGGCGTCGGCTTCCTGGTGGCCGGATTCGACGTGAGTGTCCGCGCTCGGCGCCGTCCGTGGCAGGCCCACAGGGCCCGGTGTCAGGTGGAGGACAGGTTATGTCGTTGTGTGGGTGGTGTGTTGGCGAGCTGTGACGTTTGTGACGGGGGGACTTCGTGAAAAGTATGGGGAGGGGGGGGGGGGGGTAAAACCCACATTTGGAAGACTGAAGGATCACAGGATTTCTCTTGGGCGCTTTCATCGATGTTTTCAGCGTAAGGTTCGTGGATTATTGGGGAGCTAGTATTGGGTGTGGTGGGGCACTCCTATAAATGGTGGCTGACAAATGGGGCATTCTAAATGTGTGTTTGGGGCTTGTTCACGACTGATTGGTACAGTCCTTACTAAGTTAGCCTGCGGCTGCCGTGTACCACCATGCAGCTGAAGCTCGCATCAGAATAAAGCGTCCACTCGGGGGAGGCTTTTGGGCTAAGGATCGTCGCAGATCTAAACTTGTTGTCTAATGCTCATGTACAAAGCGCTTCTAGGCGCACGATTCTCGTAATCATCAGAGGTAAAATTTCAACTGAATAATACAGCCCTCTGTGTATCTGTACTTCGCTTCGCGTTTTGCCACATTTGTGCACGCCATATCGTCCACCCCATCGAGCTGTCTGGTCCCCCCTGCCCGCTGACCGCCGCCCCCCCCCCCCCCCCTCCCCCGTGCTGACCCCGCTGCCAGGAGTCCGGGCCTCACATCTACCAGACGTGCCCGTCGGCCAATTACTTTGACTGCAAGGCGATGGCGATCGGCGCGCGCTCGCAGTCCGCGCGCACCTACCTGGAGAAGCACCTGGCCGAGTTCGTCGAGTGCTCTTGGGAGCAGATCGTGACGCACGCGCTGCTGGCGCTGCGCGACACCCTGCCCAACGACATGGACCTCACCGCCAAGGTGATGAGCGCCGAGCGAGTGGCGCCAGCCACAGGACGCCGCCAGATGTCTGGGGCCATGGTGGGCCGATCATGACTTAAGATTTAGGACGCAAGATCAGGACGCAAGATTTAAGGCAAACCGCATCGACTTAGAATGTGGTTATGTGGGAAGCCAAGTACTGACGGGATAAGTGGGACGGTTTGGTTTGTAGCTGGGGCCCCGACCCTGTGAGCGCTTGAATTGTGGATGAATGCAACGCAATCTACGTTGGTGACTACCTTTGGTGAATTCGTGGAGATCGGGGTCTTTCCCCCTTCGATTATCAACTGCGACGATCAGCTGTATAAAGACGACCGAGGCGCGTTGCGGTAGAAATGCGCGGGTTTGCGTGCGAGCAAGTCCGTGAGTGGGCCCTTCCCCAACGTGCCGGCCGTCTGTCGGTGCGCGCGGTCCCGTCACGCACCGCCGACGCCGCCAGAACTGCACGGTGGCCATCGTGGGCAAGGACCACGAGTTCACCATCTTCGAGGACGACGCCGTGACGCCGTTCCTGACCAAGCTGGAGGGGATTCAGCGTCGGGGCGGCCACGGCGCGGCTCCGGCCGCCGAGCCGGCGCCGCTGCGGGACGAGCCGGCCGCCGACGAGGCGCAGCCGCGCCCCGACTCGCCCCAGGTCAGCCACGCAGACCGGCTGCGCCGCTGGCCAGCGGCGCCAGCTCTGTGGCGTATTTTTATGCTCGAACGTGCTCATTGGCATTTGGATTTCTTGTTGAATTCATGTCACGCTTTCCTCCCTTCCCCAGGTTACCACACAAAAGTTGAAGGCTTTATATCAATGACAAAACCGCTGATAATGGAGCGCGGGCCTCGACACCCTACCAACTCTGGCAGTGCTCTGCTGTCTCGAACTCGGTGCCTGTAAGGTCGAGGTTACCTGTCTTATGGGGTTTTGTTTGACCGCAGACTATGGAGCACTGAGACTGGCCGGGTGCCGCTGGCGCGGCGCGGCGCCTGCCTCCTCCCGCGGCGTCCGGCCGCGACGCCCGCCGCACCCCTCCGCCGGGCGGGGGCGGGGGCGGCGCCCGCTCCCGCTCCCGCCCGGCACACCGTCTCGGAGCGCCGCCGCCCGGCCGCCGGGCCGCGGCGGCCTGACGCGTCTCCGCGCCTGTCGCCTGGAGTCGCGGCCCCTCTCTTTCTGCTGGTGTTCAGCTACCCTCCACTTGGAGGCAGCTGCTGACGGTCACGGAGCCGTAGTCTCTCACGCGGCTTTATTCAATACAGATACACAGTGACATAGCTGTATGCTGATGAAGCGAAGAGAGCGATGAGAATGGATCCTGGCAGATCAGCCAACAGCCAGCTCGAGCAGCCCACAGACATACCACAAATTATCTCAATTTCACGCACATCAATCTGCACACATACGCTACCAAACATATGCAAAGTCCGGCAATGCCAAGAAATGTAGCACTACGCTGTGTTGGTGAATTCATCGTCAATCGCTTTGGAAACACTCATAGACCAAAATAGAAACCATTCATCTTTCTTGACTCAATGCGAACATAAAATCAAGTCACCAAACCACGATGATGGAGCGATTTTCGAGATGACACGAAGTGACCCACAGAAACAGGGAGGCAACTGCAGCGCGATTACGTGAGGCGCCTTTAAAAAAACGGTTGCCATACTCTGCACCCAAGTTTAGATCCCGACGTTTCCTGACCGTTCGCTTGCCTCTGAGACAGCCCCATCACACCCACCGGCTGGGCAGAGCTCCGTTCCCCGGAGGTCCGCGGGGACGGCCGCGCCACGCGCGCCGTCGACCGGTCTGGCGGGCCTTCTCGCTGGGCGAGCGGAGCGCGAGGCTCGCCGCACAACGGCCGCCGGGTGGCGGGGCGAGGGCGGCCGCCGCTCGCGCCGCCAGGGCTCCGTCACACGCGGTACGCCCTCCCACCGGAGGTGGCCCGACGACCCCTCACATCATCTGCTGCGGCTGCTCCTGTGGCTGCTGCGACTGCTGCGGCTGCTGTGGCTGCTTTGGCTGCTGTGGCTGCTGTGGCTGCTGTGGCTGCTGCGGCTGCTGCGACTGCTGCGGCAGCGGTGGGTGAGGCTGCTGCTGTTGCTGCGGTTGCGGCTGCTGCTGTTGCTGTTGTGGCTGCTGCTGCTGTTGTGGCTGCTGTTGCTGTTGCGGTTGCGGCTGCGGCTGCGGCTGCGGCTGCTGCTGCGGGACAGCGGCCGGCGACTCCGGGGCGGTCGGGACCGCCTCCTCAGCCGGTGGCGCGTGCTCGGCCGGCGGTGGCGGCGGCGCCTCGGCGGCCGGCCGCTCGCCGGGCTCCGGCGCCGACTCCGGATCCGTCTCCATGGGGCTGGCCTCGGCAGCCGGCTCGTCGGCGCTGGGGTCCGCTGGCGTCGCCACGTTGCTGCCTGTCATCGGCGCCGGCGACTGCGGTCGGAGACAATGAAGCCCCGGTCATGGACGGACAGGTTCGCAGCACACAGACGTGCGCCCATCCGCAACATTTGATAACGTGCCCACATCTGCAGCCCACAAACATCGCGCATTGCCAAGCTTGGCATCAATCAAATGACACGACATCTCGCCATAAGCAGTGCTTTGCCGCTTGCATGGGGCGGCGCTGCCACTACGACATACCTGGACTGGCTCTACAGGCTTTAGCTGCTCCTCCCTCTCGCGCCGTAGAACCTCCATCTGTTTCTTCACCATATTGCTGAACATCGCCTCATCTACCTTCTTCTCGCAGAGCTGTGCAATAGAATGCGAGTTTAATGCTTCAAAAACTCATTTCAGAACGTTTCAATTTTGGTTAACATTCCCGCCTAAAGCGGCTTTCTATCCTATTTCAAACAACATCGTAGCGGGGAGATATTCCAGCGCCCAGACAGGCACGGTCGCGCGAGGGCCAGCCGGCGCCGGCGAGCCCCAGATCTGAGGGCGGCCGGCAGTCTGCTGCCGGCCCTCGGAGCGGCCAGCGGCGGCGAGACACGCATCAAGCTTGGCCCACATGACATCGACCTGTACAAACACGTGGCCTGGTGTCCTGCGGCGGCGGCCCGTCACCAGCCAACCGACGCGACCGCGCGGCACCGGGCGCCCTTCCCGTGTCAAGGTTCGGGGCCGTGAGCCGTCACTCATTATCAACCTTACAATAGTGTTACTTAGTACCCTCCCGTGCAAAGTGCGTCGGCAAGTATGCCAAACCTGCTTAACCAAACCAAAACTTCACCAGCATGCCAAAGCCTGTTATATGCTTTGAGCCACCATTCACACGAGAACGCACGCACGCACACGTATACGCACAGGCATGTGTACGTGCCCGCGAACGTGCCCACGCACGTGCACGCACGTGCGCGTACTGTTCTATGCACCACCAGCCTGCGGCATTTAGTCAGAAGCGAGCGCCGTGCGTTCGAGAAGCCGCGCCAGTCAGCGTCGATTGCTGGCAGCTCGAACAAACCACTTACGGTCTTGAGTTCATCGTTGAACACTTCGGTCGACTCCTCAAACTTCTGTTTCTTTGCCTCGAATTTCTCCTCAATCTGCTGCAACTCTCCCTCCAATTTTTTCTGTAACCATGCGAGAAAAAAATGCTTGGTTATTTTGTCTTTTAGGTCGGTGAGACAACGTAGCCACACACCGCCCACGTGATAAAGCAAGTCGTCTCAACTCAGGGACGCAGTTAAGGCCCACACGCCAATCCATTACCTCCACTTTTGACCTCACACCAACATCTGGTACCGTGCTTCCAAACTTATATGTCACTGCCTCAGAGCAGCAATCAACACAAGGCCCGTAGTAACGGCAACATACGCACTATCGGAAATAGCACCATCAAGAGCCCACCACGAGAACAGCGCCTCGCAGTGCCCGGCACATGGCCCGCGTCACTCTCAGTCGCTGCCGAGCGGCGCTCGCCGCCTCCTCCGCCGCGGTGGGCGTGGCGCCGCGGCTGCGCGGGAGCAGCGCCGCGCGCCGACGCACCTGGTGCATGGTGAGACTGTGCACCTGGCGCTTCAGCAGCTGCATGCGCGGCGTGGTGACCACCGTGCGTACGTCAGGCACCACCGTGTCCGAGAAGATCTCGTTGATGAGCCGGTGGTTGCGCAGGTAGCGAGCGTGCGCCACCTGCTTCACCGAGAACTGCTCGTCCTGGTCTGGCGAGCGGGGGCGACGGCCAGGGTTACGCGCGGTCCGCGCGGCGCCACGCACAGACGCGAACGAGCCCGCCTGCGGCTGTATCCGGCGGACAGCACGCTCAGACGTGGGTCACATGCCGCGTCGCGGTGGGTTGCGATGCTGCGTCCCCAATACGCAAATACAGGCAACACTTCCACGCACATCCGTGACAATGGCTTCCCTAGTCTAGCGCTGATCAAGGTCTGTGACATGACACACCACCCCAGCTGCAGCGGCCCGGTGGCCTCCGACCCGGGTCTGTTCCGGCCGGCGGTCGTGCCGAGCGCTTCCGGCTACTGCCCCAGGCCCGGCCGGTTACCTTCCTCGTCCTCCGCCGGCTGGATGTCGATGCGCCGGTCCAGGCCCTTCATCACCGTGTTGACGGGCGGCTTCACCTCGTGCACGTGCGGCGGCTGCTCCTCGGCCGCTGGCGGCACACAGGGCAGGCGTCAGCCGAAGACGTGGGCGGCAGGCCCGACGCACCCGGCCTGGGATCCTGACGCCGTCACCCGACCGCGCGCGCCCACGGAGCCGACCCCGTCACACGCGCGCCCAACGCTGACACAAGGCACAACGGCTCCACCCGCTGGACTGGAATGGAGGCGGTGGAGACTGGTGGCGGCTGCGGCCCGAGAGCGTCAACAAGACATCCGACAGCGTGACCCCGACCGGTGTGTTGGCCTGGAAGGGCTAACGCCTCACGCCACTGCGAGATGGAGTTAAAAGCGGCCTGAGATAGAGTAAGAAGTTACCTTACCTTTGTTCTTTGCAGACAGATAGGCCTGATATGTTGCTGAGGCGTGGTATTCCTTGACAGCGCGCTCATATTCCACCTTCTCGTTTTCGTAATCGTCTATGAAGTCTTGCTTCTCGCTCTCAGGCAAATCGCGCCACATGGAGCCTGTGAAACAGATGAACCGATGTGTATAAAATGGCCTGCACCCTGCATTGCGCATTTTCCGTGCATGGCTCAGGCATGGTAAGACTCTCCTCCACAAAAGCACGCCAGCTGGCGATTACTAGTTAATTCCGCAATGGGACATAGTTATGCCGCTTCAAGCTACACATACCAGGGACTCTGGTCACGAAGCTACCATTGCAAAACATTGGGTTAAATTTACATACAACGATATCTGCTGTTATATGGCTTCCTCATGAATTCAGTGTAAGTATGGTGCAATTTGTTACAACATAGCAATTGCTGAAATCGGCCCGATCTCACCAAGGAATACAAATGCATAGTAGGGATACGAATCCACTTTGACTTCCTTCCGCTATGTGCATGAATGATGCCGTACTTTGACCCATTTGATCTCATTTGATAACTTTCAATACAAGCATGCCATCATTGCTCTCGGCCTTAAGCAAGCTGAAGTTGTTTTCATTGGGAATACCCAATTATATACTTGGCTCAGTGAAATGTCTTAACAACTCTGCGCGAATTTTCTTCGCATTTGCCACGTTATACAACGTGCATGTTTACAGTGGGTGGCAGCTACACAAAACTACAGCGTCCCAATCCAGTGTTGTCAGAGCCGTTGGAGAAACACATTTAGCTTTCACCAGAATCCGTGTAAAAAGAATGAAAACCGCCACTTTGGAAGGCACATACGTTTACTTCATTTGGTAGAAAAAAATTGCGCGACAACACAACTTGGCGCCGACCATTTAACAACGATAACCCATATACAGCACTCACCGATTATTTTCCCGATCTCCCATAGCTTGAGGTCCTGGTGTTGCTGCTTTACGGTTTCCCAGACGCTCTTGCTGTACCTCATGTACGGCATCAAAGGCTTCTCGGGGCCCTTGGGCGGTTTGGGTGGCTGCGCAAGGATCTGCAAACATACCATTTTCACCTTCAGTTGCAATTCCCAACCACTTCCGGCGCAGGGCGGTATGGGCAATTTCACAAGCACCGCATCACGGCCAGGTCAGAAGCTGAACACAAGAACGCGCTGGCATTCGCCCAGCCACCCGCCACACATGGTGGGCATTCCGTGGGCCTTGTCAACATCAGCCGTATGTAGCCCTGTTGTTTAGGCAACCTTCGTTGCTTTGCATCTGATGAGCAATGTCAACATCAGCCATGGGTAGCCCTGTTGTTTAGGCAACCCTGGTTACTTGCGTCTAATAATCAGAGATATGGCTATGAAGCATATGTGGCACCAAAACTACAACGCAAGAAATTACAAAAGCTTGCAACCACGAAGCCAAAATGTTACAAAATTAAATTGTATAGTTAAATCCCCTTGAAGTCGGAAACATGAACAAGAGATTGTTGAAGGCGACTTTTCGGCCAGGCCACCCAGGTCAAGCGGGTTATGTCGAGACGGGAACGGTGCGTGCGATTGGGTCCGATGACGGTGCTGAGCCGGCTCGGTGCCTTCAGACCTCGGTGTGGGCGCCGCAGTCACCGGTAATTAGCGTACCAGGCCATGGGCACTAGCTCTGAGGCAATGACAAGTCGCTGGGTGTCAGTTAGGGTGTCAAGCTCAGGAGAAGATTAAGAGGAGAGATAAGGGACATTGATGTCAAAAGCAGAGGTAATTAATTCCTATACAGGGATCACGACATCCTCAGCTGACACCCAACTGATCATTAGCACATCATTACCACCATCCATGGCCCACCACACCACCAACCCATGACCTGGCACACCACCCATGGCCCAGCACACTGCCAACCCATGGCCTGGCACACCACCCACCCATGACACAGCACATCACCCACCCACAACATGGCACATTACCCATGGTCCAGCACACTGCCAACCCATGGCCTGGCACAGCACCCATGGCCCAGCATACCACCAACCTATGACCTGGCACACCACCCATGGCCCAGCACACTGCCAACCCATGACTTGGCACACAAACCACCCATGTCACAGCACATCACCCACCCAAACATGGCACACCACCCATGACCTGGCACACCACCCACACATCACAGCACACCACCCACCCATAACATAGCACACCACCCACGACCCAGCACACCACGGACCCATGGCCTGGCACACCACTCATGGCCCAGCACACCGCCAACCAATGACCTGGCACACCAACCACCCATGACATGGCCGCTCACCTACCCATAACATGGAACACCACCCATGACCTGGCACACCACCAACCCATGACACAGCACATCACCCACCCATAACATAGCACACCACCCATGACCTGGCACACCACCCACCCATGTCACAGCACACCACCCACCCATGACCTGGCAAACCACCCATGCACCCAAACACCACCCATGACCCAGCACACCAGCCATTTGTAACCCTGGCAGCAACTGGCGGCGGCGCCGACAAACACACCAATTTGAAGATGACTTGGTCACGTCTGTGCTCCCATTCCCATTTGGACCTGCTCATCTACTCCCACAACATGCCTATCTCCAACTCCACATCATTGCCACCTTCTGAAATGAGGAGGGGCTGTGCCACAAAATACATCTCTGTCGGCCTTAATAACGGCCACGCTTCTAAAGCATGCTAAATATTTCACTATCTCACAACCAAGCACATCCAAAGCATCTACAATGTAACAACTCAGAATGATACATACCACAGGCTTACTGCCCACTCTCTGTGGGTTGAAGTTTGGGTTGTTGGTTGCTGGCGTAAAGGGACTGATGTTAGATTCTTTCTGTAATGGGAGGACAGAAAGTATTGAGCAACTCATGTCCAATACCTACTTTCAGGGTGCATTTTTGAATCTTAACTGATGTTTACTGCACCTTGACAGTCTTTCCAAGATCAATGATGGCCTCAATAACAGGTCACCACATGCTGCTAACAAAGCAATTGTCTGAACAATTGATCTGACACAAAAAATTGACTCCACCTGCAAACAAACAGCACTTATGGTGGAGATTGAAATAACATTGGCAGTGGTCATATTTTGGTCTGTCAAGATAGGGCCGATGTTCCTGACAAACAGGTGGCTTGGAATATAAATGTCAACCCTATCACTAGACTCATTCGAGTTCACTCAAATAAAGACATGCAAGTGTAACATATTCAAACAGTTGGTGTATGTGCATAAAATAGAACACTCTGCATTGTTATTAATTATTTAAGGTCAGGTGTGCAACAAAAGCTTTTTGTAAGCCCGGGAAATTGATACATTAAAATATCACACTCTGATCAAAATATATTATTAGGTCAACCTGGATTTCCTTGGGCTAGAATCCCAGAGAAAAATCAAGAACAGGTCTGAATCTTACACACCATAACAACTCCATGAAAACAATTACACCTCAATGTTTGTCATTTCAAATTGTTACCAATGTTGTTATTACTCACCGAGTTCAATCCACCTGATGCTCGTAAACGCTCTGAAATGCAAACCAAGTCAGGTCAGGCCTAAAAGTAAAGTTTTACAACTCTATACCTTGGGAAATTGTTTACAAAATGCAAGGTGAATTTATCAGGTGAACAGAGTATAATGAAAACCTATCTTTCACCATGGAAATGATTCACACATAGCACAATAAATAAAAGCCAACATAATACATTATGGCCATGCACAGAGTAGAGTAGCATGCTGAAAATGATGGCCTGATGAAATGTAGGGTTCAATGATGAAAATGTAGGGTTCAAAAATGGAATGTATCTGAAAACTAGTCAGACACAAAGCAGGCTATTAATTGCAGTGTTCTTTAAAAGGTTTGTAGACCAGCATTGCAATAAAAAACAAGCCACTCACCTTTCAGAATATTGTTTGGCATGCCACCATACTGCATGTAATGATCTAAACAAAATAAAGCCATGTTACTGGGATCCGCCAAAAGCATAAGCACATTGTCAAAGCAAGGCATGTTTGCATGTAAGCAGTTGGTAGGGCGCGGAGGGACAATGACATACACTTTCCACATCAGCATGCACACAGTATGACTAAGTAGGCATGGTTATCTTCCACATTAACTGTTGTGTTTGCTGCCAGCAAAATGAAGCACAAATATCAGATGAAAAATCAAACAAAACACAATTCAATGATAAAACAAGCATAAATCAATCACAGGTGGCCTAGGAATGCTGGAGAATGAATGACCAAAGCTGTTATGCAGAGGTTTAGTTGGTAGACAGCACAAGGCACACCATAGCCACACTCATTCTCTTACATATCAAATAAGCATTCCTGTCCAGATACTACATGACATAAATGATATTTTGCTATCATGCTATATGACATTGCTGTTGAGCTACCTGAAAGATAAAATTACAACTTGGCAACGTAATTCTTGTCATTCATGAATCACTCTAGCAGCCTAATGACAATTTATGGATAACACATTGCATGCTGTAATAAACATCCGCAGCAACACTGCCAGTGAGTCATTCTGCACACACTTCATTCTAATTGCACCTGCACCTAGCAGCGTGCAACTGTGTTGAACTTTTCCATCATGGGCAGATCAATTTTGACAGGCATATTGTGTGCCTAGAGGAACAGCATTTTGTGTGCTTCACCATAACTTGTAAACCACCACCACTGCACTTTTGTGTCAGGCTTGACATTTCTAGCACCTTATGCAACATCTGCCAGTCACTGCTCACCCCATTCTACCCACTTTGAAGTTTAATGTTGATGGTAGGCCCTTTTCTCTTGCTTGAGACAGTAGGGGTACATGCCCTCTAGGAACAGTTAAAAGCAATGAAACAACTTTGAACAGCATTTAGTGTGCCAGATCAGTTACCATCTTCATTGAGTGACTGGAAAGGTTCTTCAGAACCAACATCACATCCATTTTCCTTTGCGTCATAAATGATGTGAACAAAAAAGAGAAATCACTTAAAATACTAACGTGGTGGTGGTGTTTGAACTGGTGCTGACATAGCATTGTGCCGATAGCTTGTTGGTAAAGACATCCTCTGGTCCCTGTGGAGAAGAGCACATAAATGAGCATAATTTATCACTTAAAAATGTTATTTCAATAGCAAGCAGTGCATCCAATGATGGAGCAAATCAATGACGCACTTTGTGGTTATCCAAAGCTGGCTGCAAAGTTACTTTGCTTGAGGACCAGATAAAAAATGTGTTTGTTTGTTTACATATGAGTGAGTCATTCCAAACAAGGTCACATTATTGTACATTATCATCAGTCTGCCCCAAATTTGTACAAAATGGGCAAAACATATTCCTGTTTAGATGACATAATAGTACAATGCAATGAGCTTTTTGGGACAATAATTTGCTTCCTGTTAGCAAAATACACATGAACAGATGAACACATTATAGACATAAACCTATACATTTATTTTTCATGACAATCATCTTTAGAGCAATTTTCCCTGAAATGTACTTTGAAACATTATGTTTTGTAAATGGTTATGGTTGGTATGGTTGTTTATGGTTATGGTTTTGTAAATGGATTCCCTATTGGAACCTATTGTTTTTTATGCCTGACAAGTTGGTGACATCTACTTGGAGAATACTGGAAAGTTATGGACACTTCAGAATACTGGGGTTATGGAAAATCATTCCAAATAAGGTCAAATTATTGTACATTGTCACCATTCTGCATCAAATATGCACAAAATGAACACAAAATACTCCCATTTGGGCAATGTAACAGCACAAAACAATGAGCTTTTTGGGCCCTGAATTTGTGTTGGCAAAATACAGCATGAACATATGAAAACACGTGAAATTACAGATCATTTCTTACGACAAGCATCTTCGGAGCAATTTCCCCTCAATTATACTTCGAAATATCATATGGTTCTCTCTATTCGAGCCTATTGTTTTTATGACTGACAAGTCGGTGACACCTACTTGGAGAACACCGGACAGTAAGTGACACCGCATACAATCTCTATCTCTTTACCTCTCGGGCTATGTCCGTCTTGCCTTTGCCGGTAATTTGCCGACAATCGGTAAGACCAGCCACAAAATGCAACCAAGATACGCGGCTGCTCCTACCCCAAACCAGGCCCTAGAACAGACACCCAAACTGCCCAACTCGCTCGCCGGGTCAGAGCGCCGCGTACTCTCCAACCCAAGGATCTGTAAGAACCAAGGACCATCCGGCGATTTTTAAGCCCCATCCGCCCAAGGTTAGCGTGACGTCACTGGAGCCTTCCGCTCAACGGTGGGAAAGCTCCAGCGCCTCTATGTGGAAGGCTCCAACGCGCGGGAGTAGATCCAGAGAAGAGGGGGCATGAGGTCATGACCCTTCCCTTGTGCCCCTAACGGTTCAATAGTCCTGCGAAGAGGCCAATAGCCGGCCGAACAGACGGAGTTTTTTTAGCACAAAACGCAACGAAATTGGACGTCTTTGGGATTCCAGGCGGCCAAGAACAGTCACCGAGGAAAAAAGGGCTCACGAGTAAGCAGCAATTATTCTTCGCTGATTGAGAGAATGGTGACTGAGGGGCTTAAAGGCTCATTAAGCTTTCCAGAATTCCTATACTGCTTCCAGGGCTCTTTGTGTCCACTTGCATTGTCAATCCGATTGCATCGTTAAAGAGCCTTCTACGTTCTCAGGGCCTTGGCCTCCTTCCCGCTTGGGAATTGGGCCCCAAGAGCTCAGACGGACGTAGAGCCGGCCATCTGGCTCCGTATTGAAGCTCGATATAATAGTGATAGGTACCCCAACTAAGAGAGCCCCGATAGAAGCCCTGGGACTGATAGTTCAGGTCACGGCACTATGGGTGCAAAGCCGGGTGCGACTTCAATTGGGCCCTTGATCTTTGGTCACGCGGGGCCCTTGGGCACCTCTTCGGACCACCGCAAACACGGCTTGTGGCGAATCGGTTCACTTGCCGACACAGGACTCCCTGTTAGGCACTGTATGCGCCTGACCGATACCCTTATGGTTTTAGTGACCCCAACTAATGCAAATCGCGGGCACGGCCTTGCTTGCGCTTGAGAAATGGGCCCCCAGGGCTCAGACCGATACGTAGCCGGATGTTCGGTGTTGGTGATCTCTGGCCGAAGCAGAGGCCCGCATTGTCCCAGAGGCTCCAAACCGATGCAAGAAGCTCGCTGACCGACATTTCAGGTTACGGCTTTACGGATGGGAGTGCATCGTTAAGGTGACTGTAAGAGAACGTAGCGTGTATTCACCTGGACCCGTCCGAAATCCGACTGGCACCTGCGAGAGTCGGGTCCCTGCCGCCGCCTCAGCGGCCGACCCTTGACTCCCGGCGAATCGGGAGACCCGCGGCCACGTGACGCGCCCCGGCGCCCAGTCAGATGTAGAGCTCGGAAGACAGCGAGGGCGAGCGCGCGCAACCCGCACAATCACACCACACCTCCGCCTGATTGTAAACAATCATGCCACTTTACCAATCTACGCATACTCGTAATCGTCAATGAGATCAGTGGGGGCACTGGAGCCGTACAACTCGACTGGTTGCCGGCCAGCGCGACCGCTCCTCCGCGGTTCCTGCGACTCTCTCTCTCTCTCTCTCTCTCTCTCTCTCTCTCTCTCTCTCTCTCTCTCTCTTCTCTCTCTATCTTCTATCTCTCTCTCTCTCTCTCTCTCTCTCTCTCTCTCTCTCTCTCTCTTCTCTCTCTTCCTATCTCTCTCTCTCTCATCCTCTCTCTCTCCCTCTTCCTCTCTCCCCCCCGCCCTCCCTCCTCCTCTCTCTCGCGCTTCTCTCTCTCTCCTTCTCTCTCTCTCTCTCTCTCTCTCTCTCTCTCTCTCTCTCTCTCTCTCTCCTCTCTCTCTCTCTCTATCCTCTATCTCTCCTCTCTCCTCTCTCTCTCTCTCTCTCTCCTCTCTCATCTGTCTCTCTCTCTCTCTATCTCCGCTCCTCTCTCTCCTCTCTCTCTCCTCCTCATCTCGTCCCTCTCTCGTCTGTCTCTCTCTCTCTCTCTCTCTCTCTCCTCTCTCTCTTCTCTCCTCTCTACTCTCTCTCCTCTCTCTCTCTCTCTCTCTCTCTCTCTCTCTCTCTCTCTCTCTCTCCCTCTCTCCTCTCTCTCTCTCTCTCTCTTCTCTCTCTCTCTCTCTCTCTCTCTCTCTCTCTCTCTCTCTCCCTGTAGAGGATCCGGCCGAGGCGGTGGTAGCGCGGCACCGCATCGTTGCTGGACACGAACAAGTCATCTTTGCGCACACCGCACTCATCCAATTCATGCTCACCACAGCACAATGACTGAGAATTCGTACTGGCGCTCGACACTTCACCGCGATCGCTCCACGATAGCGATGGGCGCTCAGCAGGGTCCGCGATCAACGGACTTGATGGCGCGGCAGGTGGATCTGAACCACCTCCCGTAGACCCATGATTTGACACGGTGTTCATCATCGGCAGCTTGTTTGTGTCGTCCCCAAACTCCTCATCCGCGCCGGGCATTCGGCTCCCGTCTGAGCTCTTCTGCGGGTTCCGGCGCCGCAGGCACCACACGTGCCAGGACGTGCCGTCGACCTCAACCACCCGTTCCGACATGACCCTTGTAACTATGCCCTGACGCGACACATCGGTACACCGCGTGGTGGGCCCTCGGCGCCGCATCTATAACGCATCACATACGCAAAACGACGATGAGACGGGTTCCTGCATCAGCGGCGGTGCGGGCTCGGCAGTGCGCTGGCCCGTCGGCAGGTCGGCACCGGCTGCGCGGAATACCTGCGCCATCGGCGCGCTCAGCGAGTTAGCACCGTCCCGCGGAGTCGCATTGTACCGATGCACCGCTTGACTGACGGAGCACCGTTGGCGGGCGGCCATCACCTTTATAGTTCGGTGGTGGCGCTCCACGATTCCATTGCCGCCGGCCTCGTGCGCCGCGCGAAGCCGCAGCCGACACCCTCTCCCCCCCCCCCCCCCTATTTCGCGGCGAATACAGTCATTCGCCGGCTCCGGAATTCAGTGGCATTGTCCAGCAGAAGCTCAGCCGGCGCCCCGCGTTCTTGGAACACTCGATGCAGACGATCCGTCACTTTTGCCGCTCCAGACCGTCGTAGTGCGCTCCAAATGCTGTTCCGGGGACGGCCCGCAGTCTACGACCGTGAGGCATAGGCGGCCTTGTCAATGAGTCACGTCGATCGCGAGTCGGGTCCATGTTGTCGGGACGCCGAGTGAGCCGGATCGCCAGCGAATCGGCGCCGGGTCAATCGAACGACACACATCACGCTGGCTGACGACGGCTCGCGCGTCGGCCCGTGCCACGCGTCCGCCGAGGTCCCGTCTGGCGTACCACAGGGACCGGTGGATCCCCTGGTTCCCCGTCCGTTCGTGTATGCTTTTAATCCGGGCCCGAACGTCGATTGGCGTGGGCTCGTGAGCGTCTCGTTGGTCCACCGGGGGCGCCGCGACTTCTTCCGGCCCGATAGTCGCGGAGACCGAAGTCGCATCTTGCGGGGTGCCGTGAAACATTCTGGCGCGGCGGCTGCTGCGGCTGAAGTCGCATCTCGAGGCTCTGCTCACAGCCAGGTCTGGGGAACTCTGGTGAGCGCGTCGGCAAGATTGTCTTGTGACCGCACCAGCTGGACGGTCACAGAGAGCTGGAACTCGTCGACCAGCTGTCGCATGAGGCCAATCCTGCGTCTGATCAGCATCCCCCTTGCGCCTTTGTTCTGAAAAGCGAGCGTTCGCTCAAGGCGTACTCAACCACTTGAACACTGTGGCCGAGTCCGTGTGTAAGCTGAAGCGCTTAACGCCCCATGCCAGGGCTATGTTCACGCCACTCATCGCCGCGTCCAACTTGGCCATATTGATGTGGTCCGCCGCCTTGGACTCTGACTGGAGCCACGCGGCATCCTCGAGAACGCCACCCTCCGTATCCTTCAGGACTACCCCGTTCGCGATGCCGCTCGCGTCAGTCCACACCACGAGCTCCCGGCCGACCATTTGCCACGGCCCACGAGCAGGGTCAGCTACCCTCACCCGCGTTGCGACTTCCTGGATGTGCGCGCGCAACGCATCATCCGACACTGGGTCGTCCCACCCGATCGTCAGGCCGTTCATTCGCCTTTATATTTAGTCAGGCAGCTGCTGGCCGCAACCATCCTGCCACGGGGAGGTGCGCCACCAACTGCCCGTACCACGCAAACACTGCACGCCGGGTGAGCTCGGTCGGCGTGGAGGCACCTCACTGTCTCGACACCACCGCAGCTCATCATCCCGAGTCTCGACTCGAAGGCCGAGCATTCGCGCTCCGTCTGCGACACGCTCCGGCGGTTTGCAGGCCAGCCCGTACCTCGCAAAGTGCTCCATCACCTTGTCGGCGCTGACCACGTCTTCGTCGACGAGCAGGTCGTCCACATAGGCGAGCACCCCCCGGCTGATCGCCTTGTTCTCACGTAGCACAGTCTGAACAACGGCCTTCATAATCAACGGCGCCACATTGAGGCCGAATCCGAGCCGCGTGAGGCTGTAGGTGCGGCCCTTGGCCTGCACCGTCTGATACGGCCACAACCGGCGGTCCAGACGCAGCTGCAAGTACGCTTTTCGCAGGTCGACTACGGCCGACCGGGCACCATGCTGGCGCCAGCGGCGCAACTGCCCGGCGCACACTCGGCATCCGCGGTGTGCGCAGTCACATGCCGGTTGAGTTCGCGGTAGTCCAAGGCCGGCCTGACCTTCCCCTTGTGCGGCTGTTGAACTACCATCAAGGGAATCAGGCCCCGAGCGGGCCAGTCCTCTTGCTCGTCATAGGGTCGGACCCACCCGTTCGCCACCCACTCAGCCAACTCGCGCTCGTAGGCCTCTCGTGCTTCGGCCGGCACAGCATACTCACTCACTGTGTTCCGCAGACGTTCGGGACCACATCCGTGCGCCCACTTCCATGCCACACTCCAGTGAGCGCCGTCGAACCGAGCCGTGAAATCCGCCGCTTCCAACGCCAGTGAGCTTCGCTTGCTACTGCCTGGCGTCGCTGCGCCGCATGCCGGCTCGTCACTTGCCGACTCCGGCGCCTCCCGCGTTGTCGCAGCCAGCTGCACGTCAGTCGGGGACCGAGCACTGATGCCTCCTAACGTGGTGATGCCGGACATGCCGATCAGGATGTCCAACCCCAATGGACGATCCG